AACTTCTGTACTTTATCTTGGTCATTTTAATGTAATAAGCTTGAGATTTTAATTACAAGTCGAGCTGGAATGCACTTATTATGAAGATGCTTTTTGTCCACACAGCCAGACAAACATATGTACATACAAATATATTTAACAATCTATTTATATATATGTATGTATATCTATATTTAATATAAATGCATTTAATAGGTAAGCTAAAACGTTTGCAATGTGTGTGTGGAGACCAGAGGGATTAGGCCTTGGGAGACGAGAGACGGGAGACTAGAGACCCATTTAAGTAGCAGCTTATGACATTTACGATTCGAGTTGCCACTTCAACCGGCTGTCTCTAATAAAATAACGCTTCAAATGTTGCACGTAATTGCCGTGTCCTTTTGCAGTTATGTCTAGTTACGTGTGTGTCTGTGTCTATGTCTGTGACTGTGTCTGGCTCTGCCTAATTGCCGCAAGTATACGTATCCGGGCTTGTTTGATTTTAATTGGTTTAAGCGCAGCATTTTCCCAGTTAAGCAAAGTGGCTAAAGTTACTTGCAGCTGGCTAACTTGGCTAAGTAATCGAAAGCGCCTTAAAGTAAGCTAACAGTTAAAAGTGTATTAGAGATGACAGCGTGCTGGGAGAAAATATTGATAAGTAACATATATAGATAGATAAATAATTCCAAAATCTTTTAGGATTCGATCGATGAGCCAAAAATTTATTTAGATAACATGAACAGAGTCGTACACAAATAAAAATCGATATATGTATAGACAAATAATAGGAGATTAAAAAAAATTGATTTTATCTAACCTTGAATCCGATATATTGATAAATTGCTACTCATTCGCCAAGCTGTCGATCGTAACAACAGTTTCAATCATATCGATACACTTATCGATGATTTCAAGTTTATTTGCTCAATTTCCTGCATAACAGAATTGCATAATTATTGCATATTGTTTCCCGTCCAGGCCCAACACGTTTCCATCCCCAGCTCAACTAGTATATTAATAAATGAAGTTCAGCCTCCACCGTTGCACGTGGCGTATGAGTAACCAATTCTGTAGCCCGGTAGGAGAGCGGCAGCTCTGCAATTATGTGCAACTAGCTGCAACGCATAAATTTTCTGCATAATAATTGAACCAGAGGCCAAATCTAACTTAGAGCCAAAGCCACAGGCTCGAGCAACCGGACGGACTGAAGGAATCGATGTGGAGCAGCCCGAGAAGCAATCATTAATTATATGTGGTGAATAGGTCAATTTCTAATTGGTGGCTAGCAGGTGGAGAAGCAGTTGCTCCAAATATGTTTGCATTGGGCACTTTCCGTTGACTCGAATGGCTAATAAACAGCCCAAGCAACTCGATGCGAGTCCCATACACAATTAGGCTGATTGCTTAAATGCTGATTTTATTGCTGATTGGACCAGAAGGAGCCAACAAATAGTTGTTCAAGTGGTTGCGATATACATATATAAGTGAATATCATTCATTTTATGTATATTAAGAGTGTTTACTATAAATACTACCAAGAACTTTGGCCTCAAATGATGCTTGTCAGATTAACTGTATCGATATATATCGAATTCTACAAAACAAAATATCAAGTGTATTCATTATCGACAGCAATTTAAATCAATATCCAGCGAATTCTTATGTGAATTCTATATACCCATTTTCGCTTGCCATTTCGAAGTGCCGTCTATCGAAAAGTAGTTGCATGTGCAATTGACAAAGCAAAACAATGGAAGTGCAAGCACCTAACTAAGCGAACCAACTTGAGTAGCTCAATCTATGTCTGTATATGTGTATGAATACACACACGTATATCTATATATAGACACTCGAGCTGTAGTTACCGATTCGTGTTCATGTTGAACAAACGAGCGACTGAACAATGCAAATAATTGTCAAACATTGCACAAAGGAGCATGAAGAGCCAAAAAATGAGAAAAAATCGAGATGGGGGAAAAAGTAAAGAAAAAGTATGCCCACAATGATGGAACCGTATGATTTTTATAGCGCTGCCAACAGGCATTGTGCTAAGTTGTGGAAAATCGGAAAAACGCGCCAAGAAAACTGTGCGGAAAGCTGAGAGGAAAACTTTAGTTGCTGCCTGCTGATTGTCTATGCTGTTGTCCCCTCTTAATCGCGTGCAAAACCCAGTGAAAAGGTGCACATTATATGTCCTGGTCGAAGGGGAAACGTGGGAGCGGGGGAGTAGAGAGGCAGGCGAGAGGCTGGAGCGAGGGTACGCTGTCATTGGCTTTGCACATTTGAATGAACGTTAAGCTGCGGGTTAGTCCTTTGATATCCTAGTGTCATTGCTGCATCCCCCCCAATTGCCGTCTAACTACCCAACATGACAATGAAAGTCAATAAATTTGATTTGACATTTGTCTGAGCTACCCTCTCCTCGCTAGTAGCCTCCTCCGACCCCGCCCACATTTTAGCCTGTGACAATTTCTTGCGCTGATTCAGCGTATTTGCCTTTCGCTGCGAATGTAATTTTATTATCCCAGCCTGACAAAATGTCACACATTCAGTTTTTTAATGAGCAGAATTACTGTGAAAAATGAGGGAGAACGAACGGGTACAGATACAGATACAGATACAGATACAGATACAGATACAGATACAGATACAGATACAGATACAGA